CCCCAAAACCCCAAAACCCCAAAACCCCATGATGCACGAAGATTAAAGAAATAAAGATAGTAAAATCAAAAATCCATCGAATCTGATTTGTTGGATCTATTAAGACCTGCTCCTCCTATTATAGGCTTACTTTAAGAATCTGAGTTAATCCCTAAATTTCTCCTAGTTCTATAGTTTCTTGAGTCATAATCATTACTATGTTACTCATTGCCAAAATACAAAGGCAGATCTCTAGCCTATTCCCCGGAGTCCAAACTCTCATAGTAGTTTCGACCAAAATTATTTCCATTTTGGTACATATATTGCAGCAGAGTTTATTCTTGGAGTTGTATTTGTATCGACCAATGTGGACTCATAATATATTCTATTTTCACTAGATATAAAATCACTAAACCAGTAAACAGTAAGATGCAGCTTAGATATACAGTAAAAATTGATTATATTAGGATTACACCAACTAAACCCCATATTGATCCCAGAGTAAATCCGAATATTTCTACTGTCTTTATCAAAGTAATATTGACCCTAAAGTATTTTTCTCCCAGACACGATGATATCTAGCGTATTAAGGCATATCTACACATCCCATAAGCAATACTAAGGTTCAAAAAACTAATAGTGTATCTTGTTTTCTCTATTTCTTTTTCAAAGTAATTGAGCATTCCAAATAAGCATAGAATACTCAAAAATACTGACATAATGACTAATTTAGTCTGGTTTTATAATAAACTTAGTATTTAAGTACAAGAATAGGAAAACATGAGAGCTATATAACTTAATAAAAAATAATAGTAGGTTTCACTGAGTCCTTCTTAATAGAGAGTAGTAGTAATGTCTTCAGAAATAAAAAGATATCCAATAGTTGAATGCTGTAAGCTCATATGAAAACTTATAATAGCAAGAGTAAATAATGATATCAAGAGGACTCCTGAATCAGGCTTTGCATTTTAGAGAACTCGCCCTAATTAAAAGTAAATCTTGTAATAAATATAGTTACATTCATGATAGCCTGATAGTGTATAATCGTCTACTAATTACTAAAAATCCTAGTCTACTCTATTATTTCTTCTGTTCTGATTTTTAAGCTCATGATATATATTTTTACTGTCCTTTGAGATCTCATGAAAAAGTACGGCATTCAACACCATTAGTGTAATGTAAATAATAGTAATCGCCATTCCTATGGTCATATTGAAATTCAAGACAGTATTGTCAGTTGAATAAAGAGTTAATTATTCAAATAGACTAGCTAATATGCATGATAGTATTGCTCCAAGTATTTAGAAAACTTATATGATTTTTGAGTTTAATTGAACATTTTGTTGATCTATGCAATCATTCAAGAATTATTGTTCTGATTGACGTTACGATCCGTGTGCAAAGCTTATCACAGATATTCCAAGAATAAACATTGAAATAATTAATCCATAGTCACTTGTCTTTGTATCTTAAACTAAAATTTGATCACTCTTAATCTTACCTTAATTAGAAACTAAATCATTTGAAGCAGCTTAAGATTAGACTCTCTGTCTTCTTGGTTAATCGTAATACTAGTCGAAGTAAAATATGCCTAGGGAGTAAAGTGCTGCTCCTATGACTCCAATTAGCTAAGAAATGATCATTGAACTCCTATGAGCAGTAATGAACTTTGAAATGATAAATACTTAATTGATAGATTTCGATTAAGGAATTTTCCCAAAAAGAATCCTGGAATCTATGCAAAATACAACAGTGAAAAGCTTAGTATTGCCCATTTTAAATTAATCTCCAACTAATAATTATTATGAGGTTAAATTGTTACATAAATAATTTAGCTCCACATTGTAATCAAAAGCAGAGTTTGGCAAAGATTTGATAGCATCATATTAATTACAAACACAATTTTCCAATTAGTATCTCTCTCAGATTATTCATACTTTTCTATTCTATAATTAGAATTATATCAAGATGATGAGTTCAAATAATTACACTTTAGTGTTTAGGTCATCATGATTAGGGATTTATTAAAGGCTCACATGATCATGATCTAAGATTCTTGCTGAGAGTAATGGCCTTGTCGAATCTATATAAGCTATATTCATTTTTAGTTTTCTAATTTTTAAATATCTACCTAAAATTTAAATTAGCATCATGGGGTTTTGGGGTTTTGGGGTTTTGGGG